TCTGTGCTGTATTTTATTCTATAGTGAAGCCTTTAAGTCAGGTGAGCAGATTCAGTGAATGTTTCCTGACCTCTCTTATCTGCTGACAACTTTTTATATGCAAACAATAAGCAAAGGTCTCATGAGTGCTATTCTTTTTTTATAGTATATGGTTTTTTGGGTGTGGTGGTGTTGGTTTTTTCCCTGCAAGACAGGATGGATGTTGCTGGTAAATCACCTGGAAGAAGGTAATCGTTGCTTTGGATCAAGAACATGGCACTGTTTATATTCTTGCTATATTAGATACCTCTCTGAGATAAAAACAAGCAGAAGTTTGCTATATTCCCCTAAATTTCTGTGGCTTAAGAAGATGACGTGCATGAAAATACTATCAGCTCTTTGGAAGCTGTGTTGGTCATTAGGCAGGAAGGCCGAGAGTTTCAATTCAGCTTCCTCCACCAAAGAGAGTGAATAGCTTTGTCTGCTTCACATAGCTTATTACCATCTTATACCTCCAAGATTAGAGTTACAGTAGCTCTCAGGAAAAACACCAAAAAGGTATCTCCATCTGATTTATATTTTGAGTGTTTGGTTGTTTGGTTTTGGTTTTTTTTTTTTAATTTTATTTTAAGTAGGACTGCTACTACATGACTACCATTGTAAAGTATTCAGTGCAAGAAATAGATGGCTAATTAGGCTATTGTCTGCAGGACGCTTGTTTTATTCACTGTGGAAATTAGCGAAGTATGTCACAAATGAGGTACAGATCTGGTGAAAAGAAGATGGTCTTGTGGTAGTGGACTGTAATCTGGGGAATTGTGTACTGAAACTAAATGCCTCACAGAATTTCTCTGTGATGTTAAATAAGTCACTTCACTCCGTTTCCATTAGTGACGGCTAATTGTTTGTGCTTCATTTTTCAGGTATTCAGCTTGAAACAAGGGCCTGATTTGTGGAACTGGTGGGCAGTTAAAGCTCCATCTGAAGCTAATGAGAATTGCAGATGCCCTAATACCACTGAAAAAAATCAGGCCCTAGGCCTGATTTGAACTAGGTACTTAGAAATTAGGGGACTCTGTAAACTTGTAATATTTCTGTGCTTCAGTTTTCTGGCTGTGGAGATTGGTAATTCTTTTCAACTCATCCCATTTCCTCCCAAAACAACACCAACTCATTGAATTATTTTGTTTTTTTAAAGCTTGAGGCACTTAAATAGCCCTGTTAAAAGTGCAGTAAGCTGCAAGGACACAGAATGTCCTCTTTTCAGGATAGGAACTGGAAGGTGTGCAATAAACTAGAACTGGAATTTTACACTGATGAAGAACAAACGAAATTACTGCTTCATTATCTCATCGTCATCTTTTAGATAAATTAACCTGGGGGGGTCCACTTGGAGAAGAAAACCCACAGTAATTCATTAGATAATTAAAAATGTGTAATAGCACATACCCAAGAGAAGGAAACAGTTAAGGCTTTGTGAGCTCTCTTAGTTCTAACACAAATTCTTATTTTACAAGCGTAATGCGTTTGGTTTATATGGTGATAGGACAATATGGTGCAGCCCCAGTTGTCAGTGTGCTCGCTTATTTTCTCTTTGGGGTATGTATTAGAAGGTAGTTCATACCAATTTGTCACTGAAGTCACGGATGCTTCATAGGTTGTATCTTTAGTATCATTTTGGGAACAATTGCCCACCATTTCACAAATGATGTTCCATCAGTGATAAAAGCAATGAGAAAGGTAGCGCTGATTCTTTTGCTGATGGGAGCTTCCTCCTCCCGATGTTATAGCAGATTGTAAAAGGACAGAGAGCAGGTTTTAACTATTGTCTCTAAAACAATACTATGCGTGGTTTGGTTTTGGCAACATTTGCATTTAAAGTGCATTCAGCACTAGTTCAGTCATCGGTGAAGTTTAGTTTTGCTAAACAAAAGCTTCTGCCTGAAATACGCTGACTGCAGCAGTGCTATTTTAAGGCTTTACGAGTGTGAAATGTAAGGTCAGTGCTTATTTAATGATACTTAGGTAACGAGTGACTTCATAGTAGCAGTCTTCATGTTGACGTCACTCTTTGCTAGAAAATTGTTTTACAATTCAGCTGTTCAAAATATTGTTTGATTGTGATTTTCGCTAATGATTCATCTTGCAACTGAATGGAAACTAATGGCTTGTCTGGAAAAGATTTGTAAGAATGGATTTAAAGATAACAAAGGGCAAGATCTCCTTTTCAAACTTCGGGGCCATTCTTTTTGGAGTTGAAGGCAGAAAATGATGTTAAGGACAGCTTTATTTTCCAGTGCTTCTTAAGATTTTCTTGCACTACTTCTGATGCTGCCTGTAAAACCCAACGTTTCAGGAGTGTGTGAGCTTGTTTTTTTAGGGCGTTGCATTAGTATGAAGTCTGAATTTAAAAGTTCTTTCATTAGTGAAAGTGGAGGTCATGTTCAATGCATAATGGAATTGAATGCAGTGCAAGGATCTTTGATTCAGCAGCAGGTAACAGTACACACAAGAGAGCCTTCAGACACATTTGAAGATAAGATTAGTTGTCTTACCTGCTCACAGAATAAGTCTTTGGTCTCTTGTATGTCCTATTTTAAAATAGCTAGGTGCACAGTGAAAGTTTTCTTTAATGCACTGTTGGTACTACAGTTCTAACAGCCAGTTTTACCAACAGTTGTTGATGGAAGAGTCAAAATTGTTTCTGAATATCTGAACTGTGTCTTTTATTTGAAGAAAACAATGGCCCCAGACCCTTTGTATGGTTTTCTTTTTCAGCGTAGAATAATAGCATGCTTGTATATGCTGTGTCCTGTTATCTTAAGAAGTTAACGCTTACAGCTTTGAAGGGGGTTTTTTGGGGTTGTTTTTTTTTTTTTTTGCAAGTGTCCTGCACTGTCTTCTCAGCAGTGCAGCTCCATTACAGGGATGGGAGGTCTGGGATGATGATTAGGAAGTACTAATGTTGAAAATACAGTGCACCCAAAGCAACTCATGAAAATACTTACCAGCAAAGCTTGCTGTGAAAGAGACACTGGGCGTTTAAAAATACAAACTGTAGTCTAAACCTGCATTTCTACCATTATTGCTACTACCAATTTTGCACAAGCATTAGTGCAGGGATGAGGAATTTCTAGAGCAGTCCCAATATAAAGGCAGGATTTGCAAAACTGTCGAGTAAGTATTATTTCTGGAGTGTAAGTCAGGGTCACATGTTCGATAGGATCCCACATGATACCATTATTAAATATCTAAAGTCACAGAATAGAAAAAGAATAATTTTATTTTCCGTTATCACTTGCGTGGAGCACATTTGAACTGAAAATACTTCATTCTGAGGGCACCATCTGTTCAAATCTCTGTTCTCGATTAGTTCTTAGCCTGCAGACACAGTTACCTTGTTGGAGTTATTACTTCATTTACCTCAGAACTTTAAATGACGATATTAGAATCAACTATGATGAATATTTGGATATGTGCTTCATAATGCAACCATAGCTTTCCTGTTTTCAAGAACTTGATTTCATTTGTAGTGAAACCATCCCCTCGGTATACAACTCAGTATCTGAATGTTAGCCTTTTCTTTATTTCTGCAGTAAAAAGTCTGATCTGATCAACTGATGAATCTTGCTGAGGCAGGCACAAGCGCAGGACCAGCACTGAAGTCAGCTGACTTTCTTGTTCAGGCCGAGTGTAGCTATTCATCTGCAGTACTTCAGGTTGCTGTGGCCAGTGGGTAATAAGTGAATTAATAAGTAAAAGCAAATACTGGAGAGTTTTAAGAAGCACATCATAGTGAAGTGGTTCTTCTCCTTTTAAACAAAGCTCTGCTTTCTTTTCTTTCCTGTGCTTCTCTGAGATACAAGCTATGATGTGTAGGATCCTAGTTTTCTGCTGCTCTAAGAGATGCCATGCTAGTCAGAGGAGAAATTTTATAATTAGATTTAGGGGAAAACCCTTCAGCTTCTTCTCGCTAGGTTCTAGAAGAAAATGTTTTTTAGCAGTAAAGCTATAACATGCTTTCACAGTGAGTGGGACAGTTTTCTTTGGGAATTTTTGCTAGGGTATTTTTTAGGCAGATAGTAGCTCTCGGTTGTTTATGAAACAAATTTGGCCTATGTAGTTTGCCATCTTGTTCTGAAGGGATCTCTTTTCAGGAAAGATAGACTTTAATAATCTTTGATCCACATTATGCTTTGTGTGCAGTCCCTTAAGTTAGAATAATACTGTTTCTGATTTACTGGTAAGAGAGATGCCCCCAAAATACAGGCTTATATCCAGAAAGAAAAAGAAAACTTAGTGTCTGATGATTTATTAAAACTGCGAAATTTGAGATCT